TTGCAGTCTGCAGGGTATCTGTATTGTTGTTGCTGCTGTAGAGGAGGAAACGATTTTTAAAGAGACAGTCTGAATGTTTTTCTGTACAGCAACTTGTGTATGTTTACTGAAGCCAGGCAAAAATTTACTCTCAAGGTATGAATATTTTCTAACGTAAAGGCTCTGGAATTATATAAAAGTGAGTTAAAGTTTGGTGATTTTTAGTTTGCATTATTGCTGTCAAAGCCTGTGACCTAAAAGAGATATACACATGAAATATTCAGGGCTAAAAAAACCCACTTTTAAGCCCTGTTGAAACGGCAAACAAATCAGTTTTACACCCACGCCAAGTGTCACGATCTAAGACCAAAATCTTCCTTTTCTTTGGCTTGAAAGAGAAGGACCCTTATATATCCTTGTATGATAAACTTTGTTTTTTTTTTTTGTGTATGTGTGTGTAATATTAAGATTCATATCAGCAGGGGATATGAGGGGTTAATTTAGCATTGCATGTTTGACCTACAGTACAAGCTGATGCTTTTTCCAGATTTCCTACCATGGCAGCGGAGAGGGAGGGGAGAGCGATGACTCAGAAGGGGAGAACCAGGAGCTTGCACAGATTGACAGAGGTATGTTCCCACTGCCAGGCAAATCACCTTTAATTGAAAATAGACGATGATTTTCTGTTTTGGGTCAAAAATAAAGATTAGAGGGGAACACTGATTACTGGAGGAGAATTTTGACTCTGGAAATGTCCTTCAAATTATTACAGTGTTTTCTGGGAAACGAAAAAAGTTTTAATCACCTAAGAAATGCAGTAAAGGTGAAAAGAGGATGCTGAAAGAGCTATTCATACTTATAGTTGTTGTTGGCCGTAACAGATTGCTTACAGGAAACCTGAAAAGCGTTTCACTTCAATCAACTTCAGCTACTTCAGAAAGCTGCTGGCAGAAGTTTCATTAGAAAAAGGAAATACGGCCAAATAGCAGCTGCACTGAGGTCATTTATAAAGCTTCTAGTTTTTAAAGTACCTACGTCGTCTGGGATCTCATTATCTCTCAGACACCTTAAAAAGTAGATGTATTCATTGCACTTTTCTTGACTGATTCAGATTTTGTCTTTCTTTTAAATTCTAAATGTGACCTGCCGATACCGAATTATAACTGACAGCGCGTACAAACAATTTAAACTTTTCCTCAATGTAAAATTAGATTTTCTTAGTAAAATAAATTGGTAAACTTCACAATTTTGACTTTATAGTTTGCACAAAGCTACAGGATCTTCTCTCACTTAAACAAGATGAAAATAAAGTGCTCTGCTACTGGAAGGAGGTGCAAATGATTAAAAAAAAAATAAGTTGCCGAATGCCCACTTTTACCGGACATGTTTTACCTTACAAAAAAAAGCAAATGCAACAGATTTATATAACAAATCCAAGTAGTTTTTGATGCGTGTCAGCTACAGTGATTGTCTTTGTCCCCTGATTTCCAAGAACTGGGAGAACAATAGAAAATAAATATATATTTTGATAGCGTAGAGTTGGGGTAATCTGGAATGATTACTTAGCCTTTATTAGGATTCCTGGTGACTTTTGTTCCTAGTCCTTTAGAGGAGGGAGAGAGAGATAAATCTGACTACTGGTTAGTTTAAAAGTAGGAAACAGATGAGAGCAGAGGGGTACCTTGTTTCAGTGTAACTGGTCTGTTCGGTATTAAATTATAATCTTATAAATTTTTTTAAATTTGACTTATGAGTTTTTAATTCTCCTAGAGAGGCGGAGAAATTGTGCCCTCACCCCTCTGGCCACCAGCCAGCAGCACAACCAGGGTCCCCTCTCTCCTGCACGGCTGCGACGCCTGCGCCTCCTTTTAGATGCCAATCTGGATCGCCACTCTTCAGAGGAAGAACTCGAGCGAATCAGCTGCGGCGATAACAGGAAGTGGGTGTCTTCACTCTCCCAGCGCCATGGCGATCACCACAGCAGTGCCTCCAGTGATGAGGAGGTACGGGACCTCTGTGGCTGCAGGTCGCCTGCCGCCTCCGCCAGGTCGCTGGGGGAGCCCGGTTCTTGCCTGGCTGCCTCCCCCAGCCCTGTACTTTTCAGCTCCAGCCCACCACGTAGCCTCAAGCCACCCCCCATGCGATTTCAGCTGCAGGTGGTGCCGCCGGTTGCACGACCCATCATCTTGACCCACTTTGACCAATCAGCACCTTACAGAAAGTATCGGCACAGCTACGGGGGGGAGCCAGGGAGACCCAGTCTGGACTTGGAGAAAATGCAACAGGTCCGTGAGTTAAATACGAGGAGCATGTATATGTTAGCCCTAAATTATTAAAGCAGGGTTTTTCCTGCAGCTAGTATAATGCACCCTTTTTATTCTCCCCTGAAAGAAGGCAGTATGTAATTAGTTCATTTTGTTTGTCTGTCTGTTTCTTAGCAGTCTAAGATTTACAGTTTTCAAGATGTCATTTTCATATTTTTTGTGATGGTAGATGCAAAAAAACAGCTCAAACAGATTAAATTTGGGTAAAATCTGGGTCAAGGTCACACTAAATGTAAAAAAAAAACCTTTTGTATTACCCACAATTTGTTTTTTTTTTATCGCCTTCAAACTTCTCAACAATATACTAGGCCTCAGGAGACACGAGTATCTAGGTTGGCCAAGCATTTGACTTTGACCTTCATTGAGCCCAAGGTCAAAATTGACCTTGGAAAAAATCGCAAGAAACCGTACTGAGTAATACATCCTCTGAAAGGTTGTGGAAAGAACTCTTCAACACACTTTTAATTTTTTCCATCTGATGTCCTACGACGTCTGTGTTACCAATAACAAGTTGAAGTCATCATATTGTAATAAAAACAAAGTTTTACTGTAGTATAGCTCTTGCCTTCGGGAGGACTTGCGCCCTCTGAGCAATCTTGTTTGTTATGTTGCCTTAAATGACAAGAAAATGCCTACAATTTTGCAATTTAAGGTAAAACTTGTTGTTTTCATGTAGACTTATTATGTTATGTTCAGTCAGCCCCCAACAGCCAATTTTGAGTCCGTAAAAACCCTGTTAACGATCGTAGTATCAATGGGCCCTGAAGGAAATGGTTTTGTTGTCCATATTGGAGAAAATGGCATGCATTTTTATACTTCCTTGACCATAACAGGGAACTCTCTTTTTGAGGCAACTTGTGAGGGCCCGGGGCACTTGCCTTTCACATATATCCTGCAGCACCGTGTACCACATTGGCTACACTTCAGTGGAGGCTCATTACATTAAGTGTATCAAGTCGTCAGTGTATAAGGACATAAATCCAAGCAGTCTATGGAAACATTTAGTAAAAGTGCATCACAGAAAACTTAGAGTTCACATCTGACTAGCTCATAGTTTGGCTGTTGGCACTTACAGGTAAGTAATATGTGCTGGCAGCCTAGCACCCACACACAGAGTTGGCTACAAGGACAGGTAAAGACTTAAAAAATCAGTGACCAGATTCTATTGTTAGGAGGTATTGTCCTTTAGCATGTAAAGGTCAAATGCAGTGTTTCAAACTCTCTTGCTAACTTATGACACAGATACTGCATCACATCAGGCCATGTTTTCTTCTGTGCAAAACTGAAACTCCAGCAATTACGGCAGTGTATGCAGCACTCACTTCCTCTTCATTTTTTGATGGTAGTTTCCATCATATTCACCAAAATTCTGCAAAGCTTGTGATTTCTATTTTTGATTTTTTTTTTTTTGGGTGACTTGTAAATTTCCATAGTGAGTTTGGTATTAGGCTAACATTTATAGCCTTCACTGCACATGCACACACTGTAGAAAAAGGGTATGTCCTGCAGAGACAGTTAATATTTGGGACAATATCTCAAGATGTTAGACAAGGGAACACGGGATAAAAAAAAATGCTTCACAATCCCACATAAAGAAGGATATCCGGTCACCTTGCTTAAAAGTAACACATACATGAAATTGCATAACAGTATGAATCCCTATTTTTACTAGTGGATTAACATGTAAGCAATATTTTGTTGTTGTAAATGGTTCGGGTGGAACTGATTAAATACTTTTGGTTAGTTTAAAGAATTACAGTGCATTATATATTTTATAACACTGAAATTTTCCTAAAATGTGAATGCACTTCTAGCTTTTAGCACAGTAAAAATACTAAGTACTTCCAAATTATGCTTCAGTACAGCACTCTAATCTACATTTACTTAATGGCTCTGCGGTTTAGTCCCCAGGGCACTGTATAACTGATTAATAATAATCAATTTTTAATTGCTATCAGTCGTTATTGCTGTAATTGAAACAGATCACTGACAGACCATTTCTCTCTCAGTAGGATGTTTAACTTGGAGCTTGGAATGCCATAATTTTGGATAATCAGTGAGTTTATGTGGGGATGTTGTATTAGGAGCCAGATTTTCTTCCCTCAAATATTTGGATGCATTCACAGAATGCAGTCTTTTCATGTCCAACAACCCGTTTCACTGTATGCTGAAATAGATTCTCTGTACTTTACCTATTTATGTAATATCATATTTAATTCTGACACTATAGCAGTATGTGTGCCAAATGGCAGATGAGCCTTAACCCCCCCCCCCCGTCTCCACCCCCCTGAGCAAATCAAACAGCGATCTTGGGTCGCACATTTGGTCCAAAAATTCAATCGTGAATACTCTTCAAATACACATGCACACACGCAAACAAAGTCCTCCCTTTCCATAGCCGGACGCTCGCCTCCACGGTGGTCTGGCTGGAGAGGGATGAAGGAGAGGGAGCCACGGACGGCAGATGTCCGCCCTCGTTTTTCACAAAGGCTGGCGAGCGAGGGGAAACGATGGAGGGGTGGAGGCAGAAGGAGAGGATTAAATAAACAACAGAAAAACGACAGCCACTAATGAGTCACGGCGAAGCTGGTCCGCTAATCATTAAAATCCAATAGACTTGTTGGCCCACACTGTGGATGGGGAAGGGTGTGTGTGTGTGTGTGTGTGTGTGTGTGTGTGTGTGTGTGTGTGTGTGTGTGTGTGTGTGTGTGTGTGTGTCTTTGCAAAGAGAGAAACTGCAGGTTTCATGGGTCCATATGTCTGTGGGGTTTTTAGAGGGAACGAACAGATGATAAGAGACAGCGGGCAACTTCGAGAGGGGTGAAGTGTAAAAAGAGAAGTAGTGTGTCGATGTGTATATGTGTGTGCATCCATCATCCTGCCTGTCTGTCTGTCTGTGTCTGCATGTGTACATCCTCCTGTCTGTGTCACTGTGTGTGTGTGTGTGCACGCTCAGTGAAGTGGAATGGGAGGTGCTGCAGGGAATACAAAAGGGGGCCTACAGAGGTAGCCAGCAGACACATTAACCCTTTAGCTGGACATCTCCCAGTCATGAAATCAGCTTCGACTTCTACACCTCATCCAGGGTCTGATGTACAACAAATAGCACATGTTCACTGGTGTTTGTACAGGAAAAAGTTAGCTTATAAACCTTGAATTTCTTATTACCCCCAAAAGCGATCTTAAATGTGTGTTAGAAAGATATATATGGCAAAGCTTCACATTATGTTTGGTCTGAGCACACCATAAGAATGCCAGACATTGTCAGACATTTAGTGGAGGACCTCGCCCACGCATTTGTAGTACAACCACTTCTCTCTTTTTCTATGAACATAAAGTTGACAACCTTTTTTATCCTCTGGTTTTTATTCTGTTCGGAGTTCCAGAAGCAATTTGGTGCAAACAGTGTTTTATATGCAAATGATTAATTAAGGAGCACTAGCCAAGAAGACTGAGCTCTATAAAAGACGACCATGCCAATGCACGGCTTTATAAATCTAATGAAAAGGATGCATTTCTGCCTGTGCTCGTACACGCAGCTTCAGTCATGAGTTTTATGAATCTGGCCCCCAGGGGAGCAAGAAAGGGAAAGAGATGCGGTTCTTGTTAAAAATGTAATTTAAAGGTGTCAAATATGGGGATTCTGTGCCAAAGGTGCAGGGAACACCTGAAACATATTCTTAACTACATCCTGAAACCATACAAATGGACATGCAAGCAAAGGAAAAGCATTTTCAAGGCCAGAAACGAGAAGAGTAAGAAATAAGTATATTTGGCCCAAAATATAGCCTCCCAGGCTTATTTTCAGTTAGATTGACTCATAGTCTATTTTTTTTTTCATTTCGAAGAGACAGCTATAAAAAAAACAAGAGCCATAACTCTGTACATGCAGAGTGGGTGGGCTTACACAGCTTCATCTTACAGGAAGATATTTGTACAGCAAATCTGAACACAATAAAAGAAGAAGAAGAACAACAAGACTGTTCCTTTAGTTCAAAATGAGGCTTGCAGATACTGCAAACTAAATCCCGGGTTATGTTCAGTAGCATACTCCAATATAAATTCAATTTAGTTAGTGTGGCAGATGCTGGTCATTTGAGCAAAACAAAAAACTGGATGATATTTTAAAGGAAACTGTACAGTGACTTGGTCAAAGTTGTTCCAAGTGATCGACTGTATCCTGATGTGAGTGAAAATAGCAAAAGATTGAATTAAATTCACTTCAAAGCACTTTATATCATAAGGTAAAAAGCCAAGAATAGTGAGAAAACCAACCAACAATTTAAAAAAACAAAACAAAAAATAAACCTGTTATGAGCAAGCACTTGGTGACAGCGGGAAGGAAGAACTCTCTTTTAACAGGGCAGAACCAGGCTTGGGGAGGGACAGCCTCCCTAATGATAATAATAATGATTAAATGCTGAGTGGTGTATAAACACATAGAGTGAAAAGACATGAGTGAAGATAACTGCACCCACAGCAGCCCAAGACTATTGCAGCATAGCTAAGTTACCTGTTCCAGCCCTACTTCCTTTAGGAGGAAGCTAATTTCGGTCACTTGCATCTACAATCTTATTGTTTTGAGTACTTCTCATAACTGGTGGGCGTAGGTGAGGAAGGAATGTAGATTGAGCAGTAAGTCATCTGGCTTGCTTTCATGCTCTATTCGGCACAACGGGCTGGTACCAAACTGATCTGTTGGTCTCTGTCTTCACTCAGCTCATGAACAAACCCCAAAATGTTTGAGCAACTCCCCAAACACTGAGTGGGCACTCCACTTTCTTCTAGGTGAAAACAATGGCCTCAGACTACCATAAGAGTGCATGGAAAAAAATATTAATTCTTCAGGTTGAAATGGTCCTTAAATGCTGAAGGATATTGACAGTGCACTTAGTTTTGGCTCCGGTGCTCCCTCTCTAAGACCAGGGGCTAACGTGCAGGTCTATGATTCCCCAGTGTGACCGTAAATAATTAGAGTCATGCCTTTATTTATTTATTTATTTATGGGTTCTTTCATTTAGTCTCTGATAACTCCTTATGCTTGCTTGTCCGTGTCCATTCCCACAAACTGCACAGATGTTGTTCTAAGTGATTGACTATATGCCGATGTAAGTGAAAATGGTTTTGATTGCTACATATACTATAACATTCACACCCACCAGGTCTCAACCCAGCCAGTTATCTATGAGAGATTCTGGTCTGACCTGTTAGCTCTCTGCACCGTCATCCAAACACTAAGTGTTAAACTGAAATGAATAACACCACTGTGAAAGCTAAGTAGAACTAAAAAGCAAAGATTCAATTAAATTCACTTCAATTCAATATTATTTACATAGCACTAAATCACAACAATAGTTGCCTTAATGCACTTCTATTGTAAGGTAAAGAGCGTAGAATAGAGAAAACCCCAACAATAAAGCAGCTCGGATTGAGCAAGCACTTGGTGACAGTGGGAAGGAATAACTTCTAACAGGACAGACCCAGGCTTAGGGAGGGGCAGCCTTCTGCTGGGACCAGTTGGGGGTGGTGGGAGGAAGACACACTGTGAAAGAGAGTGAGAGATTAAAAATAACTAATGATTAAATGCAGAGGGGTGTATAGGCATATATCATGAAAAGAGGTCAATGAAGATAACCCACTGCATCCTGGGAAGCCCCCAGTACCAAGCCAATTGCCGTTCAGAGGGAGCGCTCAGAGTTACCTGTTCCATCCGTAACTCCCCTTAGGAGGAAGCTAGTTTCAGCTGCTTCTGTCCACTTATTGTTTTCATCACTGCTCACAGCTGGTGGGCGTAGGTGAGGAAGGAATGTAGATTGAGCAGTAAATCAACAGGCTTGCTTTCTGGTCTGATATCTATTCAGCACAACAGGCTGGTACCAAACCCTTCGTGTCGACTTTACTCGTCCTCAGGTCATGAACAAGACCCCCAAATTTTTTAGCCTGGAGAGAGGTGCAAACGATGGCCTCACACTACCATCCATTATAAGAGTGCAGTGTTAAGGTAGTACTTATGCCCTGGATTCACTTTTCAGAACCTGGAGTCTACATCCATCTTAACTAGGCGGCCCATGGATGTAAACAGTGGTTATAGCTTTCACCAAGGATTAGCCTAGATAAGTCAAGGCTATTTTTGTAGCATGTTGCATAGAAGACAAGTTCTGTACCCACGTTTCTACAGCTCGTGGCAAGCTGTGACCTGTTTAAGGTGAGGGTGGTGTGCAGGGGTGGATAAAATTATCACTTTGATTTTTCTCTAAGATGGGTTCTTTGAAAGTTTGCACGAGGCCAGCTCAAACATGTAGCATCTAAAATAAACATTGGATTTGGTTTGTTTTTAAATTCTTCTTCAAGCATTTTGCACCCAAATACTGTAGACTGTAGAGTCACCGATGGGAAGAGGGAAAAAAAAGAAAGATGAGGGCTGGCAGGAGGTGAGCATGAGGGCAAGTGCACGCTGACTGTCTCCCACATCACAGCAGCAGGAGTCTTGTGGTGCTTCCATTCTCTCCTGCGCTCCCTTCCCCTTTGGAAGCTACCTCCGCGACTCCAGACAATTCGATGATTGTGTGGTCCCTCCACCCCCACTGTGTTTTCTTTCTTTTTTCTTTTTTTTCTGAAAACAGTGGAGCTGCGTGGTCATGGAGGGGAGTGGGAGACAGGATGTTACATAAGCTTCATTGACCAACTGTTTATACTTGAGTGAGACAGCTGGATTTGCTGACTTCCTCGATCATCCCGAATTAAACATTAAGCCGGTGCCTACTTTGTTTTCATGTGTTGGTGTTTTGCTGTTTTTGATATGGCTGATTATAGAAAAATACTCACATGCACCGACACTAGCTTTAACCAGTCATTTTCTCTCATAAAAAGTTCAGTCTACAAGAAAAGGTGTGGAGCTTTTACTCTTCTTGTCACAGAGGAGCTGCTGCTGAAGTTTTAATATCGATAGAAAAGTCACTGTGCTTTCTTCTTGTCTTCACAGAAGATGCTGCTGAAAAAGAACTGCGGAGGGAAAACACGGACCATAAAGATTCGGGTGAGTTCACTTTCATTGCCACACGAATACCCTGCTGGCAGGAAACGCTCCCACAACATTGGCGAACATTGGAATAGTATTCCTGTAAGCTTCAAAGCTCAGCTAAGACATAACATTTTGACTGCAACACTCGAGATGTTTTGAGAATATTGTCACGGTGAAGGTTATGAAGTTTACTGCTATCAGCTGTACGCAACATTCCTACAGCTGATAGCAGTAAAAAAAAAAGAAATAAAACAAATTGTCAACACAACAGCTGGTGATGTTTTCAGGCTGTTATGAGCTCTGAAGGGACAAAGCGCTCATAATGTTCCTCTAATGGCATTTGTTAGCAAAGTTAGTAGTTTTGACTGCAACGTATAGAGGGTTTTGGTATAACAGATGATAATATATTTTTTTAGCTTTCCCACATCAGTCAGTCCATCTGTAAACCCTTGAAGTGGACAGTATTGTGCAAAAGTCTTGAGCCAAGCCTCATTTCCATATATTTTGCTTCCAAGGAGCCAAGACACACAACCCAGTGAGTGTTGTGTCTACACAAAAGAGAAGAAAGCAAAAATCTGTCCCCCATGTTTTAATAGGATCTATGAAAAACTCCAAAGATAACACAATTTGATGGGCATATAAAAGTATTTTGACGCCAACAAGGTGATTCCCTAAGAACTAATAGCTGAAAACTTGGCAGGTTGTGCAGTTTGTCCTTAATAAATGTGAGGAAACTGGACAAGTGGAGGACACAGGAAGAAGTTGCGGGCTTAAATAAGTATTTGCAGAAGATGAAAAGTATTTGAAGGTATGTCCTTCATCAGAAATGGTCTCAGAGGAAGGTGGCTGTCAAGAAGCTATTCTTTAGAAAGGGAACCAGGTTGAAAGGACTAAGGTACGCCAAATTACTCAAGAACTGGCCTGAAGATCAGTGACAACAAGTCTTATGGAGTAATGAATCCAAATTTTTTTTTGGTTGGCGGTGTTGTTAATCTGTATGTAGAGCGGTCCAACAGTGAGTGCCTGTAGCCATGTTTAAAAACCATCCATGTAAGATAATAAAGAGGATCCCATATTTAAATGAGGGCAAAATAAAAGCTTCGTTTTGAACTTTTATTGCTGGGTAAAAATATTTTTTTTCTGCTCAGGCTGAAGCGTTCCATTTATGGGTTGTAATATCTTTAACAGGGGCATCATCATGATATACAGATGCTGCTAAGTTGAAGATAAAAGTGATATAAAAAAAACCCCCAGTGCTATCAGTTAAAGCCACAGATTCACTTTGCAGTTTATCACAGCTCTCTCACTGCAGACAGCATCTACACACTTAATGCCTAATTAGAGCAATGTGACAACTGCTAACAGAGTTCACTTTCCTCTTGCACACCGAGAGACTCACTAAGCTGAGTTCACTCTTAGTTTAATTGCCTTTTTGTCTTCTCCTTTCTTCTCTCATTTGAGCTAACGCTAGCTACACACTGACTCAGAGGTGTCTGCTCAATTTGTTGCTGGCCTTGAGTCACTGCAGTGAGTTGCACTATTTTTACTTTACGAGACTTGAACAAACCGAGTTCCCCGTGTATCACTTTGAACCAGTGCTCATACTGGTTTAGCCTTATTGAGATAAGAGTGACTTAAGAGAGTCATGTTAACAAAATAAATACATCTAAGCATGATTTTCAATGATAATTTTCAATGGTTACATGACGTCATTTACAATAGTTATATATATTTAGCTTCTTTAGCTGAAGAACCAGTGAGCTTATCCAATGATGAGACGTCCGTTCCTTCACAGTTCACACCATTCTTCTTATTCTTTCCTTGAGTATTCGTCAGATTATAATGAAACTTGCACTCAACAATGGGTCTTCACTCAAAACGGTGCTGAAGGTCGTCCAACTCACGGTAGATTAGAATGTTAACCAAGTATGAACGGGTTAAAGTTCTAGTTAACTTGAAAATTTAGTTTGAAATTAAGATCCATCCTCCCATCATCTGCTGCTTATCCGTGCTGGGTCACGGAAGCAGTAGTCTAAGCAGAGTCCAGACCTCCATCTACCCAGCCACCTCCTCTACGTCATCCAGGGGGACCCTGAGGCGTTACAAGGCCACGCAAGAGGTCCAATCTCTTCAGCATGTCCTTGGTCTACCTCCAGTTCTTCATCTGGTAGGACATGCCTGCAACGCCTCACAGAGGAGGTGCCCAGGAGGCATCATGGTCAGACAGATGTTCAAACTACCTCAACTGGCTCCTTTTGAAGGGGAGAAGTAGTGGCTCTACTCCTACTTCCTCCTCTATGACTGAACTTCTCACCCCAACTCAAAAGGAGAGATCAGTCACCCTTCGAGGAAAGCTCATTTCCGCCACTGAGGAAATGTGTTGGGCTGTGGTCAAGGGCGGAGGCCCTGGTGGTCCTATACCCAACTGCTGAGGGTGGATATTGGGACATGAGAATAAATTCTTATAATAAACTAGACATTATGGTTTATTTTTGGACCTATTTTTGATCGTGAACTTGTATCTCATCAGTAGCAGCTGGCTATCAGGTAGCAGACGTAAAGCTGTTAATGAATCAACTCCATCTTGCAAATTATCTGGAAAAAAAGAAGCAATGAAAACACCAAGAAGGAAATACTACTTAGGCTCATGTCATTATCACAGCTGTAATTATAGTTTTGGGCGAGCCGCAGACGATTTTCAGATTTCCAGATGGGTCTCGGCAGTCTTTAGAAATGCCTGGTATATGAAAATCTAAAATCATGACAGGTCTAATTCCTGATATAGTCAGCTCTTACAGAGGATGCACCAACAGGCTGCAGTATAAGATAAATAAGAATGATTTTGAACTGTGAATCACACAAAGCTACTGTAACAGAGTCTAAAAATAAAGTGAAGAAAACCAGTCAAAGCAGATTATCATTATCAAGTGTGTCTTACACGTAAATTAATTGAAATCAATTTAAACACGACTTTGCATGCACAGCCTTTCCTTTAATGCTGGCTGATGGGCAGTCCAGATCAGGGTATCCATTACAGTCGCGATAAGGTTGCGAGGTTGCTCAGCCCCTGTGAACAGACTGGCCTGCCTTATTGCCAGCACCTTGATCTCCATCCAACTGCATACTGGGACAGCATCTGGCTGCAGCGTTTGTTCCCATGCCCCACTAGCTACTGAGCTATAGAGACCGTGGAAAATCTGATAGCGCCATTGGATTCCTTTTGCAAACTTTACTGCAGTGATACATTAGCCTAAGAATGAAAAAATGCCCTCCTTTTCACGTTTGTTTGATCTCTTGATTTCACTCAACAGCCTTTAATAGCTGTGCTTTCCGCTTGTCCCATTAGTGCACATTTACCAGCCTGAATACTTCTGTAAATACAACAGGAATTTCCCAAAGAAGTCCAAACGCAACGGCCAACAATTAATCATCAGCAATGAGACTGTGTACATGGTGATTTTTGCTTAGAAGGACGGAGAGCTGGAGGCTGGAACAAGCTTTGTCGTCTTGGCACAGAGGAGGGCGCTCCAGAAGGAGGCACAGTGTGGTGAGAAAAGTGACGTTATTATCACGTCGTGTGGGATAGTGTCAGTGGAACCTTATCACACACTTGTTTATGAGCGCACACATGTGCGTGCACACGTACACACAGCGACTGTAACAGCATCGAGTATACCTCAGTCCTGCATGATGATGAGTGAAAATGTAAAAAACCGAGGTGGCGATGAGAGATGGAGCTGAGGAGGAGGAGGTAGAGTGTGTGCGGTTCCCTTGTGGTGTATTTCCAGGGATGGAGTCATTTTCCATTTATAGCCTGGCCGGCTGCTATCTGTTTAGTTCCACTGATACGTGGAGATATTGCTCATTATCCCGTGTTCTCACTGGTGAAGCTGGTAGTGTTGCTGATGTCCCCGTCAGTGACGTCTGTGGGCACTGTGTTTCTTCCAGTTCAGAGATTTTTGTCTCAAAGTGAGTGCACAGTGGATTGATGAGCCATTTGGAAGCTTGTGTCCACTCTTTGTGCACTTTTTCCCCCTTCCATCTCCTTCTGTCGACCCACGGTTTCCTGGCCAAGATCCAGCACCAAGGCACTGGATCTCGCTGGGTGGGTGCAGGAGGGGGTTGAAACTGGACTCAAGTTTTCAAGCATGGGAGTTGTTACAGGGGTTGAGGAGGTTGATGGTGGTGGCGGTGGGGGATTTGTGTAAGCAGAATGAAAACACAGCTTTGGACCCTGTAGCTGCTGCTGAGGCCTCCCCCTCAGGGCCTGGAGGTGAATAGGAGAGTTTATTGATGAGAGCTTCCCCGGCTGTAGCAGGCAAGAGTGATGGCGTCTGGTTTCAGCCACTGTAAAGAATGGAGGAGGGAAAAAATTGATTGAACTGAGGGAAGTGGTGCAAATATAGGCAGAATTGAGGGAGCTAAATGTAAGGAAAAAGTGGTGCATGACCCTTTGGTTTCTGGTTGAGGTAAATCCGACTTTTGTATTACAGCAAGACTGAAATGGACTCGAGGTGAGGGCTCAGTGAAGAGCTACAATCCATGCTCACAGCTTTGAGCCATCGACCAGCACCAGTTATGCTCTTGTCCTGATAACATCTCCCCCTGGCATTGCAAATAAATTAACACTCTGAGAAGCTATCACATTCCGCTAGGCGCGATTGTGTTAAATAGGGCGCAGTTGCTTACTGCAGACCTCAGTATCGTTTGTATCATTTATTTAAATATAGCAAATGTTGCAACTCTGAAAGAGAGACTCCTAAAATAAATATGCAACAAACTTTTTCCGTGCTTTGAAGTCACATGATTGGCACAGTAACCTCTTAAGTAAATCCCGTCAGTGGCTTTTCGATGCCAATAGCGGCTGTTAAATCTTTAGAGTTTAAGATTCTTTTAGATGTTTAACTCAGCGGTCCCCAACCTTTTTTGCGCCACGGACCGGTTTATGCCCGACAATATTTTCACGGACCGGCCTTTAAGGTGTCGTGGATAAATACAACAAAATAAAACTAGTATCGGCACTGAAAAAAGAAGATTTATTCATAAAGCACGTGAAAAGACCAAGGAAAACAGAGTTAACGATAAAAACGATAACAAAATAACGCTGAAAACTGAAAAACCCTGAAAACCATACATTTCACACCTGAGCCTCAACTCTTGCGGCCCGGTACCAAACGACTCACGTACCGGTCCAAGGCCCGGGGGTTGGGGACCGCTGGTTTAACTGATCTTTCATGCCATCGTTCCTACTGCAGAGATCTGTACTCGGTCTGACCCTGAATGCCGCAGATGTAAACTCTGTGAGGAGGATTGTTAATGTGGACAGGGAGTTGTCCTGATGTATGACTTTTCTCTGCTGTTGGAGTAGCTCACAGCTACCATATGGAGAACATCTCAGCAGAGTTCACATCCATCAAGTTTACTGTGGCTCAGTCTCAGAGTGAGATTTTCCATGTCTCTCTCTCTCTCTTTTTTTTCGGCTCTTTATTCAAACATGAGTACACAGAGCGGCTCTAAGTGGTGATGGGAATTGTTGCTGAGTTACTGTTGTAGAGCTGAACCCCTGAAGATGTCGGTTGAAGTCATAGCAACACCTGTAGCTTCACATGCACTGATGTTATTGGGTGATTTTTCTAGCAGCGGCGGGTGCTCTCCCTGCATCTCAGGGGATCCACTTAGTTACTCTAATGCATCGGTCTCCCAATTTACAGCTCTCTGTATAAGCACACGCTCCAGTCTTTCCATGGTATCAGCTCGCTGCAACAAGTCTGTCTCTGAAGAAATGTGCTCCCTCCTTGGATTTGGCTCTGAGGGAGAAAGTGCCGCCTCACTGCCAAATCCAACAAAGTCATTTCCTGTTGTTTCCTGTAGGGAGGAGAATGACTAGGGCTAAATTTAGACGGAGGCCTTCTAGAGCCATGAGAAGCTCAGAGAGGGGTCTCTGCAAGTGGAAAATCACTTATGTCACTGAACCTGCAGTGTGCATAAATAAATAAATAAATAATTAGCGTGAAAATGTTCTAATTAGGTGCAGTAACTTTCCAACAGTGCCAGTTGAGTTTTCACTTTGCTCTGATGTGTCCTGAGGATCCAGCATTTCCACACTTCTCCACAGACTGTCAATTTAACCTGATGTGTGCTGCACTCTGTCGCACGTATCGAGCGCCCAGGTATCAAGTCGTCAAGACTACTTTATGCAAACCAGAAACATCCAGCCTCTAAACCAGGGCTGTCAAACATAAAGCTTGGGGTCCAGAATCAGCCCAGCCCAAGACTCCAATCTGGCCCACAAGATGGCACAGATAAAGACTTCCCCCATGACCAGTCATACTACACCAAAGTAAATAAGTAATAGATTACAATACATAACTGCTTACAATTGAAGCCTTGGGCCCACTATGGTCAGTGATTTTTGTCATCAAACAGGGAGAGTGATGAGTGATGAGAGTGTGGATGTCTTTGTGCCTGCCAGTTTTTTGTGAGTCCGTGTAGTCATTATAAGGGGACCAGTGTGCACTGAATTCAAAGAGCTGTTTTGTGTGAAGACATTTTTCACTACCCACATCTTTGCAATTCTTCATTAAAACAACACAAGAGACACAGCAGCTCCTCTTCTTCCTTGTTGTCATTTTGAGTAGGTTCGTAGCGCCTGTGCTTTTTATAATGCTGAGTGACTGCACATGTGAAAACAAATCCTTTGTGCAGAATTTACATGGACTTGTAATGACTATAATAGGATCACCCGATGTCTCTCTGAGTGACCTCATCTGCAACTACATATATACTACTACTAATTTACACTACATAACTGTTGAGCTGTCAGGCTGAATCATTCTTTGTATTTGAACTACTGGTAGAGTCACCCTTTTCTCCTCCATCATGCTAGAAAAGGGAATTCAACATTCAAGGGAGGGTTATGTTGTGATTTTTTTGCACTTGGGCAACACAAAATGCATCATTGAGGGTGGAAAGCATTACCTCAGTGCCTTAACTCAGTCCAGATAGGATTGGGTTATGGATTATTGTTTGGGTTATTGTTTGAAATCTAGGAGCAGAGACAAGAAGTTCATTGCTCGCTGAAAGTGAGGAGATGCATTGTGACCGTTGCCAAAAAGGCCACTGTTGACACTCAAGTCGTGTGATTAACTGATGCAAGTCCTAGTTTTGCTCACAGATTTTGTTTTCAACAAACATGAAATCAAGAAAATTCTGATTTTTATTTATTATTTGAATTTGTTTGTGTTGTGAACTTCTCATTATCTCATCCCATTGTGATACATCCATAATTCACAGGGATCACTACTCCTCCTTCAGCATTGGTCAGTGAGTTTTTGGTGCTTTTTTGCCCTTGCCAGATAGTACAGTGAAGATGAAAAGAGAAGATGCACAGTGGGGGGCCTTGGGTCAAAATCAAACTCGGGTCACTGCGGCGTGTGGTCGCCTCCTAAACCCATGAGCTAAACTAGCAACCTATTGTGTCTTCACCCAAACTGTGCTCAACCTCAGCATCACATTTGTCATTTTATGTGCAATGACCTGTGAACTGTGATGGATCGTGAGCCACTGGTGCATTTGCTCTTTAGTTAATCTCAAACCAATATGACTCTAAGAGGGCTTAAAGCCAACAAGATTAAAAGTAGTGAAATATTTCTGTAGGTGAACCTGTGTAAGGTTCACTAACGGTTGCCTTTGTCTACGGATCAACAAGGGTCTCTTACCCAACCTCCTTTTGCGTAACATGAGAATGACTGCTGTCTTGAGGTATTCACATCCCCTGCTGCTTGGGCCTCTTCTTGCTTGTATTTGGAACAACACATACCCCACAGTGGAGGTAGTGAAGTGGCAGGGGCTGGCGTTTGCCCTTGGATGGCTTTTTTGGTCAGAAACACCAGCTCAGTTTGGGTCTAACTCTATCTGATGGCCTTGTATATTTAAAGTTTAACAAAACTACATGTTAAAAATTCTTAAGGTCAGCAGGTAATCGTTACCAAAGGCTGCAGTCACCCAAACACATGCTTTCTCTATCTGTCTTTCAGAACCTGACGGGCAGTCGTCCCCCGCCCAGGTACACCTACGACCCCTCCATCTTCGCCTTCCGCTCCCTGAGCACAGTCCCCCCCTGCAGCCCTCTGAGTCCGTCCGAGGATCCTCCCTGCTCATAAGAAAACATCCTCCCACCAGATAATCCTCCCCACTCCTCTCTTCATTCCCAGACGGCTGCTTTTTTTTGTGGTGTCTGCCCTTCTTAGACCAACGAGCGGCTGGTATGAAAGCGTTTGTTTGAAGGTCGAATTCTTGCACACTCAGGTAATCCCACCCTGTCACTTTGAGCGTCACTCTCTGCCTGAAATCAACAGCGGGCCCAGCACAACCCATCTGAGGATGCTTCAGGTTTTAGAAATCCTGTGATTGGAGGAAGAACGCTCCGGAAATGGACACGGCCCACCTGAACTTAAGTTTTCAGCACAATATTCAAGGGAAATAATGCATGTAAGACAATCAAATGCTTCCAGGGTTTCTTCCTTTGATGTGATAGCTTCATAAAAACAGCGAGGTGAGTCCTCTGACATCAGTGGTCACATTTGTCTGTTTGAAATTAAGTTTAAAAAAAAAAAAAGCTTCTCTGGATGTATTATTGAATATGCAGGTCATGTAAGGCTGAGCTATAACAAACATGTATGGCTGTAGTTGAATAGTCGACCTTTGACCTTTTGATGATGTACATTTCTTAATGAATTTGTCACTTGTAGTCCAGGTCAAAGTTCAGTACTTGTATCCTCTTTCCTTGCATGAATTTCACTGCTTTGCAGAAAGAGGTATGTGGATGAGAATAGTTTGCTGCACATTCGGCAAGTGTACACGGTGCTGTGTTCTGCATAGCCTACTTGTAGTGTGCCATTTCTTTTCTCCAATATTGTACCTCATTACTGTCTAGGTAGAAGAGGACCACTGGTGTAATTAAGATGTCCCAGTGTTTCTGCAGATCTCTTAATGCCTTGAAATGACATTCCTGTTGTGTTGAATGAAACTTGGGGTCGATCTCGGCCCCGAGAACTGAGCTGATGAACTTATTAAATGCGAAATGTCACCACTGTAACTAGGATTTTGCTGAAGTGAATGTAACATTGTGACATGTTTTCGTCCCTTGTTGCACAAAAATTAGTCAATAAATGCCCTGTGGCCTCTTGTTTAGGTGATTTTTTTTATTTTTATTTTTTTATGTGACATTATGAGTATTTAAGGTTGGATCGAAAATTCAAGCTCACCTTCATGGGATTCCCTGGACTGTTTATCCTTGTGTGAAGGATCCTTGCTGGTGATGAGGTCTGGGTCTCTGGCAGCTACAGGGCACTTTTCATTTGAAGGTCCACTGTCTCCATGCCTGAAGTCAGCACATCAGGTGAGAAGTATGACCAGGAGCGTGCTCAGTTAATACTCTGAAGCAGCAGCCCCTTCATAGTTTAACGATGTCATGTTATCATTTGTATTTGGGGACCATCGAGAGAGTTTATGGTGTCGTAAATCCTTAAGTGGACAACTGATGCTGATTGTGGTGCTTTATAGCCTAAAATTTGTGTTTTATATATTGAGATTAAATTTTAGATTCAAAATGGCCTTGGTTTATGACTAAAATATCTTGTTTTCTTTATTTCCGTTAAAGTTATTTTCTGCAATAATTGATTATGAAACTTTTTGTAACCAATAGCTTCTTTTGGCTGTTTCCTTGTTCCAGAGGCACTGCCACAGCAGATGGATCTGGATTTCTGATTTGTGACGCAAAGTTTTAGCCCCCAAAAAAGAAAAATCCCTGCAGCACTCTGCAAAGGTAGATCTGTAGAGTGGCGGCGACTCCCATTAATCACGTTGTACAGAAATTGGCTGCAGTTTAGCCTGAGGCACAACAGGGGGCGCTTGCAAAGCAGTTTTTTTTTTTGTTTTTTTTTTAATGGATAGGCATGCACACAGCTAAACGGCTTAAAGAAATATTTACATTTACCTCAATTTAACTAAACCCACATACAGCCCTTAATTTTTCTTACAGTGAAGCCAATAAACAATTAGTTAGCTAATGTTGATGCCATTTGTCAGCTGTAGTTTAACAAAACAAAGCCTTCCTTTAGTGGTAGTAAATTCAACCACCACAGCAGCTGCTTCTTATACACAAACGGAAGTTTGTTTTGAAGGTCATCACTACAAGGCTGCTGCTACAATTTCTCAGCTGCTCCAGGTCAAATGCATGAAATTAAAATGTGCCTAATACTTAAATGAAGCCAACAGGCGGATGCTCACTGGCTACATTTTCTAGTTCTGTCAATAAAAAGTTCTAAATGGAACCTATGACAAAACAACAAAGCTCACAAGTGAATTGCATACCAGCTCTGCTCTGTGCAACACCTGGAAAAAGGGAGGGAAACAACACCAGTAAAATATTTTCTGCTGATGGAAGACTCTTGGTTTAGGTGAAATGTAAAGAGGTAGAGACAAATCCCCACCTTACCTAAAATTACACCCAGGACAAATTGCTCAGCCACATTATTATTATTATTATTATTATTATTTTCAGTTTGATTTCTGCAAAAGTTAAAAATTTATTTAAATATTTTTCTTCTACCACTTTATGTTCACTGCCTCCTGGCCAGCTGTCAACCCCAAACTACAGTTTACCTCTAAGGAAGGAAGTGCCAACTGGTTCTGAAGGCTGATCTGACAGGTGCTCTCTGGCAGCAAAAACAAAATCCAGGAAGTTGTTGCTTATATAAAACCACCACCGAACAAAACATAAGGCACTGTATTCAGCAGAAATCCTTGTTGATGATTCTAGGGCTTTTCTCAAAAATGATGGTTTTAGATCGGTAGAGTTTGACAGGACAAAAGAAAATCCAAAAATTTATTAATCTTCTACTTTTTCCTGTTGTATTGCCTGTGTTCAAGCTTATGTTTCATCATGCTGTCTGTGCCTGAGAAGGGTCTCCCTGTGTTTCAGGAATCCATCGGCTGATTAGTAGGTCACTGCAAAGACCTACAGCCAAGACCAGAAGCCTCTTTGTACTCTATCGCAGCCAGAGAAACGCTCTTTGTGTGTGTGAGAGGGAGCTTGAAAGGGAGAAAAAGAAAGTCTGACGTCAAAACCGGCTTCGGTGAGAAGTGGAGCCCCAGAGAGGGAAAGTTTTAGATCATCCTAAAGCAACAAACAAACAGAGTAGCTCTGAGGTTATGTACAGACAATTTTATTATACATTTATGTAACAAAATACAGTTTATTAACTTGTGTTTGGAGCAAAGACAACAGGAAAGAGGGTGGAAAGTCTGGCAGGAAACCAAGAGAACAGCAATGAGTGGGATTTTGCAAAGCGAGGAATCCTGCTCCGGGCAAACGCACACCAACCGCTAACTCGCTCATAAAGGCAATCTTGTTTAAAAAAAAAAAAAAAAAAAAGAACTTTGAGAAGGTTGGGCTCTGTGTGTGTGTGTCTGAATGGATACAGACACACACACTCCACTTAGCTTGAGTCATTATCAGCTTGCGTTTCATCCAGTAAGCCATCCAAGTGTCCAGATGGTCAGAAAAGCTGCTCCAATGCTCTCCCTCTTTCTCCCTCCCTGCTACACACACTCCTTTGGAGGAGGAAAAAAAAGGTTATGCCAGCAAGCGACTGAAGCCAAACAGGGGAGGGATACAGATTGGATGTCAGGTGGATTTAACTGCAAGAGGAGCAGCCAAAGACTAGAAAGCTGAATTTGGATCAGTTGCTGCTCTTGCTCTGTCTCCTCATATTTTCTGCTCAGATGTTCTAGAATTCAATTGAAATTTCCCACCTTTCCTTTTAATTATTTTCTTTAAAAAGTAAAAAATTCAAGTGCTACCCAACTCCATTATTATGAGTGGGGAAGAGTGCCAGCACACTGGCTGCCCAGAGTCCGCTCTGCTTGTTTAATGTGAACCCAAATAATCTCCTAGAGAGAGAAGTAAAAACGTGTAGCATTACTGTCTCAGCCCGTCCCGCTCTGTTACAGGCTTCTGTGTTGTTAAACAGTGGTTGGGCTGGGCTGGAGGGGGTTAATGGTCATGGCTAAGGAGACTGGAGGCTTTGTACTGCAGGTATTATCTCGCGTAGAAACAGAAGAGCTCTGTTACGTTTCCCCCTCAGTAGCCATACTTGTCATTTAGGTGTGTGCGTCCATCTCCAGTCTGACCTACAAGTGAAGAAAAGACACGAGTAAACACAAAAGGTGCATCCTCCTCCTCACACATAGAAACTAAAAAGCAAATTCTTGTCAAACTGGGCAACAGGAGTATCACATGCGTTTGCATACCTCATCATTAACCTAATCGCAGCAGTGCAGTTAAATCTGACCTAAAATAAAAGCTCAATCTGGCAGTTTATGCAATTCAAGCTTATCTTATCCCTTAATTGTGACTTTGATCTGCATTCCTCAGCAAACAATGAAAATGTTGCAGCTATTTCAGCTGTGCAAATGTACCACGAAAGCCTGTTTGATTCCTTTGGTCAGGAAAATATTTGGGCCTTTCTTCATTCCAGCAGAGGAAATATGCAACCCCGCCGGTGTCAGCGAGTCAAAAGAACTGCTGTAATTCTATCTCTTAAAACAACACCGCTACTGTTCCTGCTGCTTAACAAGATTGAGTGTGATGCAGGGAAGTGATCAGCTGATCGTCAGTCACACAGCTCGGGAGGTTTACCTGCAGGAGGCACCCACACAGAATAATCGGGGTCGTCTTGTGGATACTGTGCTGACAGCTGCAAAGGAGGCTGTGGAGACACATGATGAGGAAATTCGCTTTATGCATTCATGTGGCAATAAACTGTACAGGTATACATTTACTGCTGTGAGTATGGGCCTACCCTGCCGGGGCCCATCACTGTCTTCTTTTTCTTGGGGCTGGGGTCTGTCGCTGGCTTGCCGGCACCTTTGGATTTGGACTCTGGGGACATGCAGGTAATGTAAATTAGTGGTGGAGCACCAAGTAGTTGATGCATGCTCATCATCTAGGTAAGTAAATCCCAAAAGGTTGATTCTGTTCATCTGGACGTAGCGTTTTCAGTTGGAGAATCGTTTCGTCAGTCATCCAAGTGACTTCTTCAGTCTCAGCTGACTGCAGGTTTCCCCAATCTTATAAACAGTACATTAGATCAATGACTGACAGTGGGCTAGTTTCAGTCATCCTGCAAATGTACTGTTCACTGCATTCCTCCACCTCGACTCTTGCAAAGGTCACTCAGATGTCAAAGTCTTAGCAATAAAGTTCAAATTCAGAAAAAGGACATTTATGTGTTATAAAGGTTGTGGTAATCCTTTGTTTTTTACTGAATGCCAGTGGGGAAAGAAGATTTAACACTACATCTAAGAGAGAGTACAGAGAAATATTTTACAGCAATAAAACACGACACCTGGACTCAAAAGGGCCACCGGCTTGTTGCTGCTATGCTCGGGAACCTGCTCCGCTGCTTCAGACTCCCCGCTCCTCCTCTGCTGTTTGTGGCTTTGATCTGACGTGAAGGCATGAAAACAGAAATAAAGTGTGTAATAATGAGGACACGCACGATTCAGCACATCCTGTTAAGACTTTAAATACAAGCCACAGGCACAGATATTACTTGACTTTGTACCTAAAGTGCAAAAAATAGAACATGAAAGAAGGAGATCTAAGCATTTCACTGCGACATATTTAATCTGTTTATATGTACGAGGAGGCGTTACAGTATGACAGCAGCATGCATTGCAGATTTACTGCCATCCAGTGGCTTAAAGAAAAATTTCAATTAAATGCATGAACATTTAAAAAAAAAAAAAAAAAAAAAAAAAGGCATTCTGCACGTTTTTGTGCTTTTACCTTTCAGGTGTTCTGAGACTTTGAGTTGATCTCTTTTATTCTCAGAGGGAGACGATTCTTTAGACGTCGATGCGCCGGACTCAGCAATACCTTTACCAGGTAGTTCATCATTATCCTCACTTTTGTCTGCCACTGCCTCCTCTTCTTCTTGTGCTTTTTCTTCTTCTTCTTCCTCCTCCTCCTCTTCTTCCCCATCAGGTGGAAGTTCTTTCATGTTGAAGAGCTCAGCAGGCAGGTTAGGCCGCTTAGGAGGCAACTTCTGCAAGAGAAAAGACAATGCAGTTAGTGCTGGGTGCTATGACCTAAAATTAGCGTCACAGTATTTTATTAAGTACAAAGAATTTAAATAAAACAAACCACACAAACAAACAACTGAGCTCTGTTAGTAGGAAGATAAAGGCCACAACTTAAGGGAGGGTGACATACAATACAAGGAAAAGCAATTATCATAAAGCAGGAAATGGAAACAAGGAAAGCAGGCAGAGGTGCCGCCTCCTCTCCTTCATCCTCCATCCTACTGCCTGTGGCCTGGATGTCGCTCTCACAATGCCATGCTGAAGGATGTATCAGTTCCTAATGATGCACTGGAGTTTTGTAACAGTGTTTTTATCTTCAGATATAAAAGAGGTGTAACTAACAGCTGTACTGTAAAAGCCAAGGTGAGAGGAGGACTCTTAAAGCCACTGGTCCTTTTTATTCATGTTGTATCAGTTATTTAAGATAGTAAAGGACAGAAAGTCTGACAGTCTCTTCCTCACTGCCTGTGCTTGGCTCTCATTCTCGTGGGGAGAATGTACAATTTGGGAAATAAGGAGAAGGGCAGTGACCAAAAAAAACAATAACAAGAACCAAATAAGTGAAATCCCTTACAAGAACCCTGCACCATTGCAGTTACCTTTGCCTCCCATGGTTTGCTGTTGCTGCATGGGCAGAGTAACGTGAGCCTGGCCCACAGTAAAAGCCCAGTACAGGCACAACAATGAGCTCCTTGCTTAGTGCTCTCTTTTCTTTATCCTTCATTTATTTTTACTACAGCGCAAGGCCTTTCCCAAGTCTGCTACGCCATCTGGCTAGCTATCAAGCTTTTTTAGTAATTGTGCAGTTATTATGTTAGACATTTTTATTAACCCAGACTTCATATGTAGTCACCCTAAAAGGCTCAATTTATGCAGGAAACCCTTGACTTATATTAACTTATTTCTATCTGATCAGAACCTTGAGTACGAAGGATGCACAGTTAATGCAGGTCTTACATATAATACATTTAAAAGTCACAGTTGGTGGAGTATTTGAAGAAATCATATCATGCATAAAGTTACAACTTAAAAGCACCAACTTCAGTGGAAATGCAAGCACGTCAAAAAGCACATACCCCAATAGTACCAGTTTTCAGTTTGAATTTGCTCCCTCCCTTCATGGCTCCAAACATCGGCAGGGTCTTTTTCGACTTCTGCTCTGAGCTGCTATCAAATCAAGACAGATCAAAATATCAACTTCAATCTGACACGTTTATAAGATAACTTTTAGGTTAAAACTGCTGCTTTGTCTGACCCGGGCAGCAAGGAGGGCATTTGCGCCGGCCTCGTGAGTTCAACCAGTTTGCGGAGCCTCTGAGCATCTTTCCGCAAGTCGGCCATGTGCACGTGAAGCTTCCTGCGCTCCACCGCGTCCATCGCTACCTCGCTTTTCACTGCGGTCATGAAGGCCTCCAGCGAGTCCTCAGTCGATGACGTCAAAGACTCTGATAGGAGTGAAAAGTTACAGACTGGACCTTTTAAAGTCTGTAGAAGTGTGAACAGGTGATTACAGCTCACCTCCTTTTCCAGCACTGAGCTTTTTCTGAGTCTCTGCCAACTCCTTCTCCACCTCTTCCAGTTTGGCCACCTACAGAAAAATAATCAACAGTTATGGACACGTGCAGAAAATCGCTTCTTTCTTTAGATGTGTTTTAATGGCTGATGATGCTTTAAATGCTCTTGATTTGTCTGTCAGGTATAAAATCTCCTTCTCAGTTTGCGGACAGACAAGTCCTGGACATACTACATGAGTAAACTTCTTTGAAGTTAGACAGGATGAACTGAGGGGCGGCACCATGGCCCAGCATATAAATATGGAGCTGGAAATTTACAGAATAGGTCCCCTTACAGACAGTGGAGCCCTTAAAACTTTCAGAAAACAGCCTGAAAGACAGTACCCAGTTGATGCTCTCACTGTTGTCTGTTGTTTTTACGCTCCTGTCATTTATAAAACTATGCAGATGTTTACCAGTGAGTCATAGGTCTCAGGCTGCTCCTCGAGCTTTCCCGCTTTCTTCATTCGTTCCTGCCTTTTCCTCTCCACTGTGCCGGTTCTATCCAGGAAGGTGTCATCATCGCTGTCATAGTAGTCATCGTCTTCCCAGTTCTTCTTCTTGCGCTTACGGGACACTGAAAATCAGATGCAGAAACTCTTATTGAATTTTCCAACACAACTTCCAGTCCTCTCAACATGGGACTGAGCACACAAACCTGCTTCCTGGCGCAGCAGCCCTCTGGCTTCCAGCATGCGACACGCCTCAAGACAGCACTGGATGGCAGCTTCTTTCTTCTTTCCTGTGTGGGTCACCTCTGCAACCAGCTGACGACCCATAGCGTCGTCCACCGGCAGCCTGTTTTTTAAAAAAAAAAAAATTAACAGTCAGCACATACAGCTCGATAAACACTTCACAGCCTGCCTGGAAAAAAAACAAAAGAATTTATTCCCCTTACTTTATTCTACAAAGCCAGGTGCCGTGGTTCTTGTCCTCATACTCAAACTCCAGCTCCTCCCCTACAGAAGACAAGCAAAGAAGTTCAGTGAAAAAAAAAAGCAGAATCTGCTGTCTGTGAGTTCTAGTTAACTGCTAGTTAGTATATTCTTTAACCTCTACAACTGAGAGTATTTAACCATTCTTTAATCTCATGAGAAAGTAAAGTTTCTTTTGGATTTTCAGCTGTTGGTCATAAAAAAAACAAAGAATTTGGACCCTTCATTTTGATGTATGGTTTTTAACTATCTTAGGCCAACTTGCCCAAAATAACCCTCAACCTTTTGGAGTAACTGATTTTTTTTCCAGCAAATACGTACAGACATTAATTTCCTTGATTTTAATTTCAGTCTTTTAATGCCCTGCAATACTTCTTCTCACCTTCTCTGTCATAAAAGCCCTGCAAAGCCTTCTTGGGGTCCTTCAGGTAGGCTGCTTCCTGGTCTTCGTGGAATTCTGTTGAAAAGGGGTTTTCCTCGTTCTCGTCTTCCTCTGGAGCTGCTTCTTCGGCTGCAGGGAGGATTTGTGCAGAGGTAATGTGAAAGGTAAGAGAAAGACCCAAAACACTGAAATCATGTATCAAACCAAATGACACGTAACACACTCCAGCTTCATCCAGCAACAGCAGTGACACACTCACCCATTCCCCACGAACAGCCAGAGTCTTCATTTGACACTCTGCCATCGTCCCTGTTTTCATCCTCCTCCTTTTCTTCTTTTTCCTCATCAGAACCATCTCCCATCATCCTCCTCTCCAGCTCTTCCTTCTGTTTGCGAGCTTTTTCCCTCAACTCTGTCACTGTCAGTTCAGACTCGTCTTCCTCATCAAACTCTGGACCCTGCAAAAAGAAAATGAAGCTCAACACTCAAATGTTACTCTTTTTAAAATATATCCCTTCACACCATTTTAGACCCTGAAAATCTTACATGCATAAAACATTTTTCTGGTACATGAAGAAGAAATCAGTTACAGTACTGGATGTTTGTAATTTTGATTGATAGATGATTATTTTTCTTTGCATAACACACAAGCTTCTCTCTCCCAGCTCTTCTAGAAACACAGCATGGCATTTCAAGCCAGTTAAAAGAAATGTTCTCTCTAGTCTGTCCTGAATCTCCTCCCAAATGGACATGCCCAGAAACACCTCAGCAAGCACACATACAGGAGCAGCTTTACATGTCTTTTGGCTCTTTTTGATGTTGAGCAGCACCAGTCTATTCTCTCATCCCATCTCTTGCCAGTGTAGAAAGACCCCAAGATAACTGAACTTATCATACCCAGCACAAGCTGGATTTCACTGCTCGGTAAAGCCAGCAGACATCATTCACAAAAGGAAAGTTGTGATTCTAAGGCCACCAGCCACCCTCCACCTTCTGGCTGTATTTAAAAATTATGTCCATAAGAGTTATGGAAAGAATCATTGATAAAGTGCAGCCCTGGGACTCTCATGAGTCTAACTTAGTGCAGTCAATGCTAACCAGGTGTACATGCAGTAGTACAGGGACTGAATAACTCATAATAAAGGGTCATGCTCCGAAAACATTGACCAAAGGACTGCCCTGAGGTATGAAGTTGAATGCCTTTTCCAAATTTATGCACCCAAAACATCCCTGATGTAAAAGGCTGGCTAAAAACTGCACTCACAATCTGGGAGTGCTTTATATGATGGATAATATATTTTTAATGATTAATTGGTTAACAGCTTAATATCTTTCTTGTATCATGTCAGATACACGCTGATGTAACCTTCTAAAAGTAAAGAATGATGCGGTAACTGATGTGTGTGGTACCTGTAGAGTAACATATGGTGGTATGACAAGTGGTGTTTTCACACCACTTACTAAGTATTATTATATATTGTGGCAAATAGCAGCCACGTTATTCTGCCTTTTTAGAGTAACCATCATACTGCTGGTACATATGAAGAATATTGCCTCTATATTAAAGCAGACCTCTTGTCTTTTTTGTATTTTCCGTCATATATATCCTGTTTCAGTTGTGGCTTATCATGTTAAACGTGGCCAAAGACTGAAATGCTAGTGTGTAGATAATTTGTGTAAGCTGAAAGCTCTAAACATGGCATTTCTTACAGTTTTCCCCAACACTTTAATCTGTATGATGCCATAGTTATACTTAGGCACACAGAAGCCGCACCCATCTGCTGCTCAAATGTTCTGCTTAAATGCCATAGCCAATCACAATACAATTTCCTTAATGAGTGAGAAGCTAAAACTGCATCCTGCAAACAGAGGATGAACCAGGGAGCAGCACAAAGGCCCAGTATGGCAAAAGTTTGGATTATTTTGAAGTGTGAACCACGCAAAGTTACACTAGAAGAGTCCAAGAGTAAAGCATAAAAAGTATCATTTAAAGCTGTTTAATAATGCACAGGCATGATTAACTGAATTCGTGTTTATTCTACAGAGAAACATTTTTGTGTAGCTGCAAGGAATCCATAAGAGAACTTGATCAGCCCTACCAGGCAAGATTAGCACTGTGTCAAACAGCTAAAATCAAGACATTTTAGAGACCCTCCCTGTCATCGTTGATCACCACAACAGACATTACCTGCAGGATAAAAAGCCTCGTGCTTCCTCCAAACTTCAACACGTGCCCCACGCGGACTCTGATGTAAGTTTTCGGTGGGATCTTGTTCTTGTTCACCACAGTGCCGTGCGTGCTGCTCAAGTCGTAGATGTAGAAGCCCTTCTCTTCTCCCATGCAGCCCGCGTCCTCCCCGGCCTCTCCACGGTATTGAATCACTGCGTGGTACCTGGAGATAGAGGGGTGCTCCAGGGAGAGATCGCACACAGGTAAACGTCCAACCACAAAGTAGCTCTTGTCCACTAATGGTACCTGATCCACTATGGTGCCATTTTTTAGGATTTCAAGAGCGTACGGGGTATCCGAAGCAGTGCCACCCCAGGGAGGCTCTGTGTAGGGGAGAGGGGGTAATTTGCCAACTTGGGGGGCTTTAGTAGTGAGCGCTCGAGGTTTAGCTTCTGGTTTGGTTTTGTCCTTTTCGGACTTTTTGTCCTTTTCTTGGCCTTTTTCAGAGGTTTTGCCTTCGCCATCAGCTTTATTTTCTGTGATGGGTTTGGACGGAGCAGTGACGTTGGTGCGTTTTGCGGTGAAGCTAGGCGCCGCAAAAAGAGCCGGTTTCTTGAAAGGCTCCTCCGCTTCTGGTTGTTTAGTTTTACCCGAGTCTTTCTCTCCGGCTTCCTCTCCATTTTCTGGTGCCAAACGCTCATTAGAGTCCATTACAGAGTTCATTTCGTCGCCTGTGTCCATCACGTCTGCTGCTGGCGGGGAGGCAGCCATGTTTATTTGGTGCAGCTCTCAAACTTGGCCGGGTACTTTAACCTTTAAAAATTTACAACTACATCTGATAAATTATGTAAATCGAAGGAAAGCCGTCGGATATTATAAATTCTTAAACAGTCCCACATTACATGAATATATTTTTTAATTTGTACAATTCAAAACGAACTTTTTGTTGTGGAACTAAACATTCAACATAGCTATTTACCCGAGTTCTTTTCCTCCAAGGACGAAAACCCTTAGTTTCCTGTTCAGCTTTCTTCAACATTCAATCAACAGAAGACGTTTCCTCCATCCCAGGGTAACAGCAATGTGTTTTTTTTAACCTCATTTACATTAATAAACATGCCCGTGATGCATTAAAACATGTAGTTCGGCGTTGAGTTAAAATAAACGAGTGCATCAGTAACTCAAACCGCAAAGGTCCTGGAACCCAGCTGTATACTCCAGCCATACAACAGACATTTTGTGCGTTTTTCTGTCATTCGAAAAACATCAGTTTTTGTTAATCATAGACTTCAGACTTTAAAGGAACCAATGCAGTTTTATCTTCTTTTCGGGATATAAAAGCATAGCGAATAGACATGTATCCTGCCGCTCTTTCATCAGTTATTAAGTTTGGAGAGGCTGCTAGCCACGCTGTCTTGGTTTATCATAAATGTTGCCCTTAAAGTATGTCAAATGTACGAAAAGTGATCATGAGATAACAATGTAGTTGTAACAGATCTTTTAAATGTTGTGTTAGCGTTTTCAGCTTTTCACAAAACTAGTATTTCACAACTTCAACTTTATTTAAAATTGTTCGCCTGTGATCAACATTTGGCGTAATTTGCTCTAAAATTAACCGGAGTCGTATACATTTAACGACTTGGTTTTATTTAGAGATCTTTTTGTCAAGAGGCATTTAAGTACAACCCGAAAGCTGGACATTATTGAGGGTGATGCCTCGCAGAATATTTAAAGTAATTGCAATACTGGTGGTGCAGAGTGGATCAGGATAATAACGTAAATTGAATTGTTCAAGTGGTTTTCTTGTAAATAACTAACTTTATTTTTATTTATTTACATTTTACAGTGGGGTTTAAATTACACATATGCTTGTAACATTGCAAGAAATAGCAGGAAGCTTCACAGACTTCTGTTAGGGTGAGAAATAAAACAGTTTTGGTCCCTCTCTAAAGAGGCTTTGAAATCCCAGCAAACTAAATCACAAGAGTTTTAACAGAAAAAGATTAGAATCATTTGTTTTGTACAGTAGGTTTTAATTTATGCGAGCCTAAAATACTTATAGGTTTACTGTTAATTATGTTAAGAGAGGCTCATTGCCTTAACTAAATACCTGACAAAAGGGTAGCTTTGATTCAGCAAAGCTCTGTGTGTTCCTTTGGCAGCTGCACACTTTGTTCAGTGAAATAATCACATTTTAATGCATGGTTTAAAGCCAAACCAGACAGTAATGCAGGAAAACAAAGAATAAAATTGTTTGAATTTAAAACAAAATCAGTTTCATACTGAACAAATTAACATGAACAATAGTTGCCTTGATGTTTTCAAAACTTATTCACATTTTCTATACCCCCTTTCTGTTTTAGTCTCAACTGCAGTCTATATTCTCCTTGTGTGGTCATGATGCGTTACTGGGGTGAGATCCCGGGGCCTGCGGGGGCTCCTCCCAATCGCAGTTCCTTTGACTTGCTCCAGCGTGAGTTTCGATCCGTGGAGATGCAGGACCCTCCCTTACACCAGCCCTCTGCACAGCGGCCACGGCCCACCACAATGCTTGATATCCCCTCTGAGCCGTGCAGCCTCACCATCCACACAGTGCAGCTGTGCCAGCACGTTCGCCGTCTCCGAGGTCTTCTGGCAGCAGCCCAAGCCCAATCTCAGGGTCAGAGCTCAACATCCTCCGAGGGTGGCAGCAAGCTGGACGAGGCTGATACCAACCTGCCGTTATGCCCTCCCACCCCACCTGTTATGCCAGATGACCTGCTACCTGTGGATAGCAAAGCCCCCCGACAGCCCTTTCAGCTCCGCCACAGCGACCCTGAAAGTGACTTTTACAAGTAAGTTTCAGATTGCAGTCCTCTTTTCTAAATCAGTACCTCTATATCTATAAAAATTAATTTCATGGGAAATCAATGACCACCTCCCATCATGATCAGCTGATGGGAGTAGGAAGTAATAGATTTAGACACTGAAGGACTCTAAACCCCAAATTTCTGTGTATTCCACATTTCTCATATAAATCTTAGTCAACAATGATTCTTTATCTCCTTCCTTCTTCTGTTTTTAGAGGTAAAGGCGAACAGGTCACAGAACTGAGTTGGCCCTCCTGTAGGCAGCTACTGTATCAGTCTGTAGCGACCGTCCTGGCCCATGCTGGCTTCGAATCTGCTCAGGAAAGCGTCCTGGAGACGCTCACGGATCTGGTCCACGAGCATTACCTGCGTCTAACCCGCCTGCTGCGGGTGGCAGTGGACAGGGAGGCTCGACTTGGAGCCAGTCCCTTCCCAGATGTGGTGGAGCAGGTGTTCCATGAGGTGGGAATTGGCAGTGTCCTGACCTTGCAGCGATTCTGGCAAGTGAGGATCAAGGACTATCACAGCTACATGCTGCAGGTAAGGCTGGAAAGAAAATAGAAATTAAAAATAAATACATGAGACAACATCAATTTGTCATCCTCCAAAGTCTTATACTAATCTGTTTCATATCTCTGGCTGTTTAACTGTATGTTTTTTCTACATTGAATTAGAGCTGAATGACTTCATAGAAAACCCTTAACAGTTACATCATCCAGACTCCTACTTTACCACAGAAATATCTTATTCCTACAGCTCAGTAAGGATCTATCAGAGGAATACGAGCGACTGGTAAATCCAGAGAAAGCTCTTGAGGACTCCAAGTCCCCGAAGATCAAGGTGGAGGCCATGAGTGACATTCCCTTCCCTGTTAGTGAGGAGCCTGAGGCTGACTTGGCCTCCGGGGACCAGGCTTTGCCAATGGGGGTCCTTGGTGCCAATGCTGAGAGGCTGGCTTCAGGGCTGGATGGAGACCATTCTCCTCATACCTCAGGTAAGATCATTCTAATCAAATGTTTTCTACCACTTGGACTGATTAGTAGTTATTTCCAAGTTCAGTAGTTTAGTGTTTGAAATGCTTTGTGTCCACAACAGGTCATTACTGATCCCAGTGGTTGCATTACCCTCTTTCAATTACAACTGCAGCGTTGTCTGTAAGCTTTAACTCAGTTCTAAGATTTGACAATATTTGAGGGAGAACCCTAATGAGTCCCTATAAGAAGCACTCGGAGATAGTGGGGAGGAAGAACTCCCTTTAACATTAGCAACTTTATAGTAGTTTGTAGCAATGTTATTTGTTTGGTAATGGGAATTCTTAAAGTAATCTTAATTAATGGGGATTCTTAATTAATCTTAATTGTCACTTCAAGCACAAAGAGAAGTTAATATATATTATAGAACTGCGACAGCATGGAATTAACCACATTCATATACTTTAACGAATGATTGTTGTGTTTAGTCATAATTTTCATTTACTAAGGTTTTCAAAGCATCGACTGTAATTTTAAAAGTTATACATAACTGGTTTCTCTCATGCTTCTTCAGCTTTCTTTTGAAGACAAGGTTTCTCGCTACAGCAGGTTTATTTAAATAAATGTGACTAAATCCATTTGCCCATTTAGTGGTTAAAAAAAAAATCCAATTCGCTCCTTAATTCGTCTTTGTTTCATGCATTTCCAAGGTGGAGGTGTGGCAAACAACTCCCCTCTGTGGCCTCAGGTAAAAGTGGAGCCACAGGACGGCGAGGAAGGCCAAGCTTCGGCTCACCATCATCATCACCACCACCACCACCACGGGGTCCTGGGCGGAGATGTGTTTGAGGACGGTGGGCCCATGTCCACCATGAGTGAGTCAGGAGGAGTAATGGGGCCCTCACCCGGAGGGGTGGGATCTGATGGAAGCTATGCTTCCCATTCGCCCGACTCCATGATGGTTGACGATTTTGACCAGAGACCCAAGAAACGGACAAAGAAGATGTGAGGCTGTTTTAGCAGAGAAATTGACTCTGAGCCAAAGTGCTGAAACACACCAGTGTTAATCTGACAAGAGCGCTGAACTCATGGTGGAAGGCGGGGCTTTTGTAGTTCTTTGTTTTTACTAAATATATTAATGGAGTTAATCACCAAAAGAATAAACATCTTCTGGGGAACCAGCTGCACTAATTCTGGTCATGGAGTGTTTTTCATAAACAAATCTATAAGGAGCTAGTCAACAGTTAGCTTAATGAACAGAGGAAAAGGAAAAACTATGAAGCTCTAATACAAATTGTTTAGTTGAACAACTAAATAATTCAGCTGCAGCATTTGTTTTCCCGAGCCATTAAGACTCTTGCTCCCTACACACCAATTATTACCATTTAAAATTCATTATCATTAAAAGATGCTCTAAAAAGAGAAAATCCTTGTTCTCGTGAGCATGTCTCTGCATGCGATTATGATGTGTTCTTAACTTTGCCTGCTTCGGTTCACTTTACGCCTGGCCCGACAGAGTGGAACGATCTGCACACACCTCACACACCTGTCAACCTGAAGCCGCTCCGCAGAATTAGCATCTGTTTCGGTAATGAGGCCAACCTGTGAATGCAACACCAGAGGCAATTATGGGTTGGTTGTGTGCATCGCGAAGGGCGACATCAATCCAGTCTTAATGGCAAATTAATTAGGCCAGGCATAATTTTGCATGTTCAATGAGCAGGCCTGTTTGAATACATGTGTTTTGCTTTTGTGTGGTCCTCTTTGGTTTTTACAATTAGCCAGGTAATTGTCTGTGCCTCAGGTAGGTCCTGATGGGGGTCATAACTATTGATATTCAATTAGCTGCATCTATTGATTGATGATTGATTTGTTTTCTGCAGTTGAATGTGTCTGACTGCACAAAACAGTCTTCCAACTTATGAGGGAGCTATTAGAATTGTTGCCATTAGGACATGTCGCCATGTTTCACTAACGTTATATGGATTAGCTTCTGCTCTGATGTTGTGCTGGTAAGCTTCACAGATCACATCAGGTTACCAGCGAATAAAATACAATGAATCCATTCAAATAATACAATTTCCCCAGATACGAGGGCAATCCCAAAATCAAGGTCTCCTATCGTTTTCGAAATACGTTTATTTTCCATAATATTTTCATCATTTTAAAGCTTGAAGACTTTTGTCTACATAATCGCCATTTCGGTCGATACATTTTTGTAGACGCTGTGGCAGTTTTACAATACCCATGTTATATGGAAGTTTTGGAGAATGCTAGCGCCCTTACTCAGCATTCCTCTTCTCCGGTTCTGAAATGCGCTTCTGAGTTGAGAGTGAGAAAGTCAACAACACCCCCTTTCGTTCCTCAAACACAGTTGCGCACTGTGCGTGCAAGCATTCTCCACAACACCGCGCGTCCACACGTCGTCCGTCAAACTGTTGCTCTCCTGCAAAACTTTGGAACTTCATCACCCACCCACCCTACAGTTCGGACTTCGCACCAAGTGATTCCCACCTGTTCCCAAAGGTGAAAGAACATTTGTTCGGAAGGCAATTCTGCGGCGTCGGCGAGCAGGTATGACATGGGCATTGTAAAACTGCCTACAAAAATGCATCGACCGAAATGGCATGTAGACAAATAAGTCTTCAAATTTTAAAATGATTTAAATATTATGGAAAATAAACGGTTGTTTGTATTTATAAAAAAAATAGAAGGCCTTACTTTTGGGATTGGCCTCGTACTTAGACACATACATCAAACTGCTCGAGCACCGTGCCTTGAAACAGCCCCTCACTTTATTCCGAGAATAGCTGTTTTAGCTCTTTCTGTTATCCGGGACCTTCAAGGATAAAACTCCTCTTCAGGATCCAAGTTTGTTTGATCAGTGTGATATGTCCAAACTGTTACATAACACTCCAATGGTATTTCTCCATGTCACAGCCGCAAGCTACAGTCACGGTCAAAACCAAGTACACCCTCTATAAATTCTAAGGTTTTACATATTAGGACATAAATTATCTAGTTGTTACCAGGTTTTAAAATTCCTGCCAAAGTCATGATAAATGCTCGATGATTCAGATAAGGAAATTAAGCTACATTTAAATTAACTTAATTAGCGTTCTGGGATCCTGACAGTATTTTAGTCAGCCTGAGGTCTGGACTTTGACTGGGCCATTGTAGCACTTTAATTTCTTTCTCCTCCAGCCATTCTGTTGTAGATTTGCTGCTGTGTTTAGGTCATTGTCATGCTGCATGTCAATTTTGGCCAAGCTTTAGTTTTTAGACAGATGGCCTCCCATTTGATTCTATACTTTGGCCGTAATGCACAGTACCACATTTGGCTGAAGCCAAAAATCATAAGCAAACATCTCCATGTTGATCTTCTCTGTCAGGAGGACATTGTTCCAGATGCTTTGTGCTTTGTTTTATTGTGGTTTGCATCTTTACTAAGCTAAGCTGTGGTACCATATTCATTTTAGACAGAAGAATCTTTTCTCCCGGAAATGTTTCCCAAGAATTCACATTTGTTCAGTCTTTGTCTAACTATATGTCATCAACATTTTACATGCTAAATGAGGCTTGAGATGGAGATCTTGGGTTTTTTGGGGGCAATTTCTCTGAGCTTTTATTCTGACCCTCTGTACGTCCACTCCTGGAAAGATTGGTGGCTGTTTTGAATGTTTCTATTTGTGAATAATTTTCTCACTGGAGAATGATGGACTTATAATCCTTACCAAATTGATGAATAGCAATATTTTATTCTCCAGAATCATGATGTCTTTTCTCCTTGGCATTGTGCTAACACACATCTGAATGCTGCAGACCAGCAAACCATTAATAGTTCTGCTTTTAGAGAGGTGCTCATACTTGCTGATGACCATTTAGTCAACTGCATTTTATTATTAACACCTGGCTGCTACATATACTCTAACTCCAATGTAAGCAGTGAGGGGGTATACTAGGGTTTTCGCACAGTCCTGCATTTTGGCTTAATTTTTGTTAAATATATAATGATACAGTGTCATAGTGTACTTTTTCTTTTTTTGCCATGGCTTTACATTCATCGGTGGCATTGACATGAAGGTAATATTTAGATTATACCAAGACAAAACTATTTCAGTGACAGATGAGCAACTTAAGGCAGACCCATTATGCTAATTTCTAGCTCCAGAATTTTTTTCCCCTTAGACGTCCCTCGGGTGGAAAAAGAAATTAGCATTCTAGACTTTTGTGGGAAAACAATAATAGTTCTAAGCCACGTCTGGATTATTTTCTGCTTTGACATGCAGCTGGTAAGCTTCACAGATGGAACATGAAGGGAATTCTGTGCCAGTTGTTGCAGCAAGAGGTGCCAGCACCGTCTCTTAGGTAACTAAAATGCAAATAACCAACATAAATCTGCAATTTTCCCAGATATCTGGACACACACAATTCATTGAGTAGTTTTAGGAACCCCACCTGCCACATTTGTATTTTTTCAACCCACCCCTTTAAGGCAACTCTTGTTTTAAGCTGACTTTTTTCTTATTGGCTGCCACTCGCAAACCTGAGATATGAACAGCAGGTGGGCGGGGCCTCTGATTATAGACAGGGTTGTTTGCTTAAGATCATCATCTGCTCTCATTGTGAGCTTTCAGGCCTCACTGCCTTTGTTATTTGAACCTTGGGTCATTTTAAAACGAGCACCCACTATTCAAACATTGTAGAAAATTAGGAAAGAAAATGTGTGCTGAGGATTGAGGCGATGCGTGCCCCCTTAGACTATACTAAATATCTATTTGAACAATACAGAAACATTATGTTCTAATCTTTTGCTTTTATGATTCACTTTAAAGTGTATTGCCGAAATAACTTCTGTCATGTGTTGTTGACAAGACAAAAATAAATTTTTTACAAACTTAATAAAATTGTGGTGTAATGGCCATTGCTGTGACTGGTGGGATTAAATGCATTAAAGCTCAGTCTTTTTATAAGCGTGCTCTTTCTGTTTGACCCCCCCCCTTTCCAGTTTGTCAACAGCTGCCGAGCTGCTTTACACTGGGGAAAAAAGGTGTAATTACAAAAATGTCATGATGGTTTTGGAGAAGGGGTCTCTGAGTGGGGCCAGAACGCACTGAAAGCCAAAGAAAGCCCCCAAACAAGTGATTAATTACCTTCCTCTGTGCACCTTTATTCTTTTAGCATGAAATTTAATCTCTCCAGCTGAGTTGGGAGTTTGTGAGCAGAATGAAGAATATGTTTAATTTTTACACAGTGAGCTCAGAGAATCCTCCAGGGTACATGTTTGTCTATCAAAGACTCACAAGAAAAGTGGAAATAAGACGCTCCTTATAAAGTAGTGCCATCATCCGATTTCTCAGACTTCTATTTATTGTAATCACATAAGAGATACTTTACATGTGCAGTGGGAACGAATAATATTTTATGAGTCAAGATGATCGTATCAACAGAAAGATGAATTGTCAGACATATGGGATGTGACAGGTACAAAGTGTCCCATGTGGCTCGTGCCACTGTTGTAGCCCCAGAGATGAGAAAATTGATTGCATAGCGTCAAGAGTCGCAGCCTGACTCGATCAATGAAAATTTTCTCTTGGGTGATGTGACTAAGAACGTAAAATGAAGCAAGAATTGATCGAATGGCCAGAAACACAATAATGAAAACTGTGCATCAAAAAGTTCAGAGTTGAGTTCAACCAATTTTACAGCCATGTGAATGAAGTGTATGATGGATGCAGCCAACATGACGTCACTCATTAAGTACCTGCTAATTAGTGCTAAGCAACATAAGCAAACCATATTTTTGTACCATGGTAGAGAGGTCCCAATTCGGTGACTACACTTAGTAGAGATTATTTGGTTAATTCTGTCCCGAATGCATACTTTACCATGAGCTCTTGTCCTTTTGTGCAATAAAAATAAAAATAGTATCCTGAAAAGTTCTAGACCGCTTCAGCATGCTAACTAGAAAAAAGCATGTTTGTTTGATGTTTTGTTTTCCTCTTTATCAACCCAGCGTGCAGATAGCTGAAGAACTTTTGCAATAAAAGTAACAACATGATTGTAGCTGTAATGTAATTGCTGAATTTAGTACAGTAACGTGTTACATTACTACATTCCTGAAAATGTAATGTGATTTCAGTACACTCAACACTGGTCACAAGTTGGCATTACCTGCAGATGCATCCTATAAATTCTACTGAGGATATGCTGATTGGCAAAAAACATGGACATCACTATTTGGCTCATTATTAGCGCTCAGTCCAAACGACTGCACCTGTGGTGGTATTGGGGCGCATTAATATCTGTGGAATTGGCAGCTTGCATATGTGGAAAGGCACCATTGGCGCCAAAGGTATATACAGGGTTTAGAAGAACATATTCTCCCATCCAGATGAGATCTTTTTCATGGAAGGCCTGGCATATTTTATTAAGTAAGTTTAGTAGTAAGTAGTATTTCAGTAAGCCAGTGCTAAAATTGCATACTGTGTGTCATACAACAGCAAGGCTGTGTAGTAGGAATCTGGCTGCAGAATTGGCCTGACTACTGTCCAGACCTTTCAACTACTGAGTGCATCATGAAACACAAAAATTCAAGATTTGAGAAGCTAGAATCCTCTACCAGACAAGAGTTTCTCTTCCAAAAGTCCAGCAGCTCGCCTCACTTCCAAAACATTTATGGACTGTGATACACAGCGGTAAACATGGGCCTGTTACAATTCTTACGAGGCTGCCATCACATTCAAAATGAAATACTCAAATATCTAAGTTGTGTGTTTTCTGTGTTTTGTTATGAATAAAAATTGGGTGTGTTCTAACGTTTTTTGGAAATGGGGTAGTGGTTTATGATTTAACTGAAAACTAAGAAACATGATAAAATACAGTAATGCCTTAGCAACTCGAAAAAGGGCAGTTACCCAAAGAACAGTGTACTCCATCCTCCTTTTTGACTCTAATGGGACTATAATTTATAAAATCATTATCATACCATTATCAGTAAGACTTGAAAGTAGTGGTTGAAACTATAAATGTAATAGGAAAGTGTTTAGTGAGGTCACATCAAGCGAGGTGTGGGATAATTGTTTTTTTTTTTTTTTTTTACAGACCAAGATCTTTTTGAAGTGGAGTGAACATTTGAAATTGGTTACACTTTGGAGGTTGGCAAAAATTGAGCAAGTTTAATTATCTCTACCTCCACTAGCTAGTTAGTGAAATTGGCATACCGGTTCAGTATAAAAAACCCCAAATGTGGCATGATCGACATGATTTCCATCAATTATATTTTTGTAAATAAATGCAACACATTTGCAATATTTATAATAAGAATGCATCAGTTTTGCTTGTACTGGAGTGTTTTTACATATTGCATCGGTATCACATCCAAAATGCTTCACACAGCCTGCGGTCTTAGGTTAACAAGATAGTTTGAGGATTTGCAATGCAAAGAGCACATATTTCTGTGCCACTCAGTTAAATTCATTATAAGCAAGTCAAGGATATATCCCTTACTCCCAGACATTTGTTTCACGGATTTACAAATCCAAAAATGTAAGAACATCTGCTCTTATTTGCTTAGTTGCTCTCTGAGGTACATCTCACCAAAAGCCCCACCATATAATTTTATTTAAACAGCACATCCTAACCAAAAAATCAAGGCCTTTTGACTACTCTATCTGCCCTCAGTCATGTCTTGCAGGCAGGCCTTCAACCGACCACTGTCACACTGACTGACTGGCAGATTCTAACACATATGCACAACCAGATGTCAAAGGCTTTGATTGGTACTAGCTCAGAGGCAATATCCTGTGTGGTCCATTTCCATGTCGCTCTGGGTAATGTGCTTTTATTCTGTGGCTTTCATCTTTATGGAATAAAGTCGACTCTGAAAACGAGCCACTCTGTAGCAAATCCATTTTACTGGGAACAGTGCTGGCCTTTTGAAATGACACATTTCTGTGGAAAAGCTGGTTCTTTTCGCTCTCTTCCACTGGAGGGCAATCTTGTGCCACAGACATCCTGCAGCCAAACGGTGGAGTCCTGCAAGTACAGGACTTTGCATTGTTACAGCTAACCACAGAGACCTTGGCACTCCCACTCCTTCTGAGTGAGCCAGGGTTTTATGGCATCGCGTCACTCCTGAGACGTTACCAAGTGAATCCTTTTCCTCCACACATGGCAATAATTAGATTGCTGCCGCTAATGCATGTGTGTCTCGGGGTGTTTTGGTTGGATGCATCTAAGAAGCACAAACCAAAACATGAGCGCAATGCACAGTCGGATTTGCTCCTCATCAAGATATAAAATAATTCTTCAGGCCCGTCACTGTTGAGATAATACCCTCTGTGAAGCCTGTTGCGATTTCTATTTTGCATTTCATTTCACTGGAACACGCAAAGTAAAAATCAATTTTTCAGTCACTAATTTAATTCACGGAGCCAGTTGTTGAGTTACGTGTTTTTCCTCACATCTGCCTTTGCTGCACAAGGGCCAAGGTGAGCAATTAGGGGACTGTGCCTGCATGCAGCTGACAGCGCACAGAAATAGCACCACCATTTTCTCATTTCATTCTACCACAGCTGATATAACTGTGGGTAATGTATTCACATCAGGGACTGAAGCACTTTAGATGGTGGTATTGATATGGTAAAGAAGCCTTCAGTCCCTCCCCGTAACATCCACTGTACAGTGTGAGCTCTCAGTGTTCAACCTAAATTTAAACATACCTGAAATTGCCTGTAAATGAGTCGCAGGGCTGAATTGTGGCTGGGAGCTGTGTATGCTGAGTTTTGTATTCATCATTATGCAGTATGTTTTTGGTCTTTATGGTTTTTTTTTCATAAATAAGGAGTCTGACACTTTTGGAGCCCAGGCAATTATTTTTTTATCTCACTTCAGCTAGGGGATAATAATGATCTAAGTTATGAAACCTGTAGTTTGGTCAGTATAACAAAAAGACATACCAAAACTGACAGGTGACTCACTGATTGGACTGTTTTTGGTGATGTCATCTTGCAACAACAGGATTCGCAAGGGAAAAAACAAATTTCGCTAAATTATTATGCGCATAATTAGTGGGTTATCACCGCAAATCAGGTGGAGTCAGAGTGAGAATGAGGTGTCTTGTAGACAAACATTCCTTTCCTGGAGAGCATGAGCAGCAGAAGAATTTAATATGGTTTAGCTTTTGAATTCACAGAGCTGCTTTCACAAAAATATCATCCCAGGTCTGTTTCTTAAATGGTACAGTTCTTTGGTCAACCATTCTCATTTCCAGGGCGCCAAATTCTGCATGTTGCCAAAAGCTGCTGCAGTTTCCCATTTACACATAAGGTAGTGCATAAACACACTGGATTATGGTATTAGTGTTATCGGCCTGTCGTTTCCAACTCATCCTACATGGATGCTCTTGAACAATATTCATTAGTCACATTAAAATCGCACGAAATAAAGTAATCACATTTAGAGTTATGCCCTTTCTTGTGCAGGGAGTGAAAAAAAAATAAAAGAATGACCTACAACTTTTGAGGAGTGGTGAAAAGGACAAGAATGTGATTGGAAAGTGTAATCTGTGTAACATGCAATTGACTCTTTCCAGGTTTTCAGTTTCTTTTCCAAGTTTCTTAAAGCACAGCATCCATATATAAAACTAGCAGCTAAGAAGCTGCAGAGCAATGTTAAAGCCGAGTGTGTGCCAATGCTAGCCGGGCAGCCAAAGCATAATTTTCAGTAGGTAAGAAGAGGAATGATGACCCGTCGCGTTTGTGCCATTGTAGCTTCCATTTCTACTTTGTCTCTATTTGTACAGCAGAGTCACTGCGCTTCCAAAATTGTTTTGTGAAATGTTCTTTGGGATGATTTTCAGCGTTGCTTTCAGGTTTGTGTTTGTACTTAAACATTCAAAGAAGGACCTTGTGTGTGTCCTCATTAGGCTAGGAGTTTGTGCCAGAGCGTGGGACAGCAG